AAAGGTGAAAAAAAAAGAATAATATGATAATTTTTGCATTGATTTTATGAAATGACAAATATTATGAATTAACTATTTATAAAAAGAGATGACATATAAAATGGGACATAACGAGGATCTCCATACCTGAAGAGTATATAGCATGAAGTCTGACAATGCTTACTAAAGAAAGAACAGAACTACCAAAAAGTTTTAAGAAATAGTATAATTCCAACTTTTTGTTTTGTTTTGTATATAATATTTGATATTTGTATCGAAATTTAATTAAATTTGAATATATATTATAAAATTATTTTTAAAAATAATACTTTCAATAAATCTTTTTTATTTCAAAAACTTAAATTTAAGACATCTAATTAAAGATGAAAGGTTATCGACCGTCTTACTGCAATACGTATTATTATAATTTTTAAGTTTTGGATCGGAACAACATTCACTCGTGACTTCAAGAAAGAAACAGAATAAAAATCCAATTGGTCAAAGAAATAACATAAAAAAACATATATATATTATATTATAAAATTCAAATAGGAGAAAATTTCTAAATTTGTGAAGAAAATATAAAAGACAGCTCATGTGCTGATGTGCATGTCAAAGTAGCGGCGCATTGGGTCCCATTTAGCATTTTGAAACAACTTTTTGATCATTTTGAGGTGATAAAAGTGATAAGTAATTATTCATTTTTAACTAAAATATCGGATTAGTTTACTCATTTAGAGCGAGGATTCATATTCAAAAATTATATAAAAAGGCTTTATAAGTTTTCAGTCGATATGATAAAAGAATATTATAAAAATGTTGATTAGAATTTACATATACAAAAGTGCTAGAGAGTATTTGCATACTCAAGATAATTATGATCTTTGAAGCTAAGGGTTCATAAAATATTTTAATTCAGAGCACATAATTTCATAAATACAATAAGTTATATACTCCTCTCTCCATTTCATATTATTGCCCACTATTGATCTTTTAAGAAAGATTTAATTAAATGTATTTTTAAAAATTAATTTTATTAATGACATTTTAGAACTTTAGATTTTACTATTGCTATTATTAATATTATTATTTTATATAGTTATTTAATACTAAGAATAATAAGGAAAAAAGTAATATAACTTTATTAATTAGCTAAAATAAATTAGTAAAATAAAATATATTTTTTTATATATAAGGACCAAGTAAAATGAAACGGAGGAAAACCGTACAAACTAAGCATAAACCTTTTGTGGCTATTTATTTTGTTTTATAGGGAAGTGTTGGATTCATTTTCCTTTCATGTCCTATTTTCTCGAGATTCAAACTCTTTGGTTAATGCACCTTTTCCACGATTTTAGCCGTGATTTGATCAACTAATTAAACTTGTTAAATAAGTGAATTTGGAATTGTAATTACTTTGAAATTTGGTTACTAATATTTAATTAAGTGTTCATGTACCACCAATATGGATTGTGGTGCAGTGGTAGGATTGTTTCACCATTAATCAAAGCTCACAAATTCAAGCTCTAAAATTCTGTTGGGAATGTCACTCTCGAATGAGGCATGTTCCTAGAGCGTGATTCTAATTTAGTTGGGACTCCAATATGGATTTCAGACACCGAGTTAAAAAAAAAAGTGTTCATGTACCTTGGATTCTATCTATCTTGGTGGCCCCTCCATGTTCTTAGAAACTTTATTGTATTTTCACATGGTTTGGTTTTATCTTCACCATACTCCATATGGTTTATGTATGTACACTTGAAACAAACTTCAAGATGGGAATTCTTCTTCCCTAACTACTACTTCAATTTTTCAAAAGTTTAATAGTGATACCGTTTAATTTATCATACAACTTACCTAGCCATACTAATATGTTTAAGCTCTTAGTTATATACATTGATAATACAAACAAATATTATATTGCTTATGTAAATTAAACAGGTGGAGCAAAAAAGTCAGTAATGTATATCAATTTAACTTAATGGCGTAAAAAATCAATGGAAATAATGCTCAACGACTATCTTTTGGCTCTGTCTTTGAAAAATAATTGCTATATATCTTAAGTTTAAAATTTCACAGATAGATATTTTAGAATTTCGTTGTAGAATTTGATCCTGAACAAGGCTAGAAAGTGACTGTTTGTGAATCTCCGCCCCCCTCTAAAGATTCGATAGATACTTAGGGACATTTGGTTAAAAATTGGACGGTTATCCTAATATAAAATAAAAAATTAAATTTATTTTGATAGTGGTTATTAACTAAAATCAAAATAAAGTTTATATCACAATAACAAAATTAGCTCATATAAAAGATTATAATCTAAGATTAATATATTTTTGAAATTACCTTATTTCAAACTAAACAACCTCCAATAAATAGTACTTAAATCTCTTTAAAGTTTTATGTTAATGTAATATTCTTTCAAAATTGCAAACCTTTTTCTATTCCCCTTTAATTTAACAACTTCCCCTTTCTTTTTTTCAAAGGGGTGGATGGAAAGTAGGAATAGAATGACATAATAGTTTTCTTTTATTCCTTTTTTAAGGGTTTACTTTAAAAGTATATCAATCATAAAGTTGACAAGTTTGGTCTGTGATATATATTTAATATATTCTTTCATAAATTAATTAGAGTATGATCTGGCTTTCAACTACCAAGAAAATAAAAAAATACTTACATAGATATAGGTAAACATGAAGACTATTTCAGCAAATGAAAGCTTGGCACCCCACATTAAAAGGCATTAAAGTACCACATATTTTCATCAGCCAAGAGAGGGCCAAAATAAAATAAAATAAATAAATAATAATAATAGAGTATTAAAAAAAACTTGGCAATATTTTCAAAAAAATTAAAATGTGAAGAAAATACCTTGATGTGGAACTTTGCTGAGGAATTTGTGTTGGTGGTCCTTATTATACATATCAATTTGGCCACCCTAGCCATGTTCTCCTAGCAGATTATTTATTTGGACTTGTCCGTCATGGTCAAAATGATTTGTTTGATTTGTAGGATAAGATGGGATATACATAAAATATGGTGTGTGTGATAAATTAATCTAAAAATTACAATCTCAAAATAACTTAGTTCATGAATCAAATAACCATGATTAAGTTGCAAATATATAGATGAATAAGCTCTTGTAATTGATAAGTCCTATCATGAAGATATATAGTACTACTATCTCCTGTCTAAATTAAGTTTTGTTTTAAATTTAAACAAATATTTTCACCAACAAAACATGGTCTAAGTTTCTTCAATTCGTCTGACTTTACATAAAACATAAAGAAAATATAATTGTAGAATTTCTTTACATATGTACCCAGGGGCGGAGCCAGCATGTCTTTAGGGGGCGACCCCCCTTCGGCGGAAAATATTACTATATATACACGGTTAAAATTATTTTTTAGATGTATATAATAGATGTCGAACCCCCTTAGACTAGTTCATATGTTTACTCCTTCGGATTTTGAACCGCCTTATTGAAAATCTTGGCTCCGTCACTGTATGTACCGATCATATTTTCATTTCAGAGACCAAAATACGCAACCTTATTCCTTCGTGTTAATATGAAGTTTCTTTTTGTATATTATATGGGTGATATGTTCCGCAATGATCATGATTAGGAATTATTTGATTATTTTTCTATGAGAAAAAATCGAAATAGAATCACAATTAGCCAATAAAAAAGTCTTAAATATACTAATATCTCCGCCACTGTATGTACCGATCATATTTTCATTTCAGAGACCAAAATACACAACCTTATTCCTTCGTGTTAATATGAAGTTTCTTTTTGTATATTATATGGGTGATATGTTCCGCAATGATCATGATTAGGAATTATTTGATCATTTTTCTATGAGAAAAAATCGAAATAGAATCACAATTAGCCAATAAAAAAGTCTTAAATATACTAATATCATACATCAATTCTCCTGAGAGGTCACAATTACCGCAAGTAAAGATATTAATAACAAGGACGACTTTTTCTATTACTATTTACACTTGCTCTACAATTTACAACAATAGTTCAAACCGCACTCAAAAGAACGGCATTTCCTTATTGGTCGACTACCAACATTTCCGCTTTGGATTCTCTGTTCCCAAAAAAGAAATATCAATTGTCCTTACCATTTCATTATTCATACGCTTCCGTACATTTTTAATTGTCATGATTTTCTTTTATAGAGTCAAATGATAAAAACTTTGACCAACATTTTATGATGTATTGTTTCTTCATATTGATATGCAAAAAATTACAATTTATAGTACTTTTTGTATAGATTTTAAATATCTAAATTTTTTTGTTTAAAATATCAAATTAATATAATGTAATTTAACTTTTGAACATTAGTCAAATTGACTTTCGAAAAGCGCAACACGATAATTAATAGTGGACAGAGGGAGTAAAAAGTCTGTAGGATCTATTATTAAGAATAAAATATTATTTTCTATAACAGTATTTAACCAACCCGAGTTTGTTAAATGCTCAACAAGCAGCTATATTAACTCCGAATAAACTATGTTCGTCAACCAAATATGGCCATGAATTATTAGTTGCTAGACATCTAGATCAGCATGTTCAATTGTCTATAGAGGAAAGTGACATTTCTATGGCAATTGGGAACTACAAACACGAATTCACCAGTAAAAATCCTTTGTAACAAGAGCTTTTTACATCCCAAAGCTTTGGATCGATCATGCAGAGCTTCCGTGAATTCTTCGTTAGATATTATAGTGGTGCAGAAATAGATTGAAAACGTAACAAAAATTTAACAGGTAGCCTAGTAAGGCTGGAGTATTAGAATATCACATAGAACATTAATGAATGTGTCATCTTCTAATCTTCTTTGACATTATGCAATTGTGACAGGGAGGGGAAAAAACGTTTCTATATATTAAGGTTTAAAGAGGCAAGAAATTAATTCTAACACTAGTTTAATTTGTTGTGAGGGAAAAATTAAATGAATATATAGTCATGTGTAAAAATATGGATGGAACAAGGCAGAAAATTGTCATCAACTTAAAGTGAAAACAATATATACACGAAACCATATCGAGAGTGTTGATAACATACTAATATCAGTAAATAAACACCCAAAATGCACCAGAAATTCATCGTCAACAGAAATGTAAAAAGCAAGAACCGATAGCAGCAATCTTGTTACTTTAGGCAATGAATCACTTCCATCTCTTGTGCCCCATGCCAAACATGCCATGCTTGCCAAACTTCCCGTGCTTGAATTTTCCATGCTTAAACTTGCCATGATGGCCAAAATGGCCATAATGGCCATGAGGACGACCATGCATGAGATGGTGAGCCCCATATGCAGCTACTGCTGCTGCTGCACCTCCAGCTAGCATGCCCCCTCCTATATGAGGTCCGCCATGCCCTGCAAAAGTTCTGTATAGTCAACCAACTGTAACGTAAAAGACATTGATAAAATCTGTTTTCACACTACTACAAGTTCATGTACTCATTGGTTGTTCAAAAGAAGCAAAGGATTCACTTGTCAATTGATGGATTTAAGTGGAGGTGCAAGGAGGTATGCAAATAGAAGGAGAAAAACAAATTAATATGCACTAGATGTCAGCACTCTCTACATCTTTGGGGTATCTTTCATGTTAGTCTATTTGATCAGAAACCGTGTAAAACCAAAACTCATATTTGATCATCGAACAATAAGGAAGCATATATATAGCAATCAAGACCAGTACTAGTAAAATTAACATCAATTCCATGGTGAAGTAGCACATCCATGTGAAAACCAAACAAGGAAGCATATATAAAAGCACGGCCAAACCAAAACAAATATCTGATCATCAGGATCATGCATTTGAATTCATGTGAAAACCCATTCTGCAGCAAGCAACTCGTAAGCTACATGCCAGAGACATTGCCTGTAAGTTAATTGTTCACATTAACAAACAGCAGGTAGCAAACATTCTCAGACAACCAAAACCAGTCTAATCTGTATCAGCATGAATAACGTTTTTCCAGAACAAGGATACCCTCCCCCTCCGCCCAATAACAAAATCCAAGAAACGGAAGCATGGTGTTTCTCAACAAAGCTGGAAGGTCTATTTAGTCTGTTTGTTAAGGTGGTTGCATATATGAATGGACCACATTGGTGATCAGCATTCTTCCTCTTGCATATATGCAAGTTATTGATTTGTAACTTCAGGGGTTAATTGTTCTGCCTTTAATCCCCCCTATATGGACGGTCACCCTTGATGTTTCAAGAGCTTTATCATCTCGTTGTGATTCCTTACACATAATTCAGACATGGTATCACAATGAAGAATGTAATTAATAAAGGCACTGCATGATCGAAAAAGAAAACATGGGATGTGTGGATAACAAAGGACATTATATCTTGAAACTGATTTAAATGCAGAGAAGCAATAAATACTAAGAAACTAGTTCAATGTATTACCATGATGTGAGGCTGATGGACCCGGATAGTAGGCGGGTGGATAACCTGCAGGAGGATATCCACCATGTGGAGGATATGCAGGTGGAGGAGGATATCCTGCTGGCGGGTATCCACCGTGAGGAGGATAGCCAGAAGGCGGGTACCCGTACCCTTGTGGTGGATATCCATATCCTTGAGGTGGATATGCCCCATAGCCTCCATGGTGATGGCCCATAGCATATCCAGCAAGACTAGAAAACAGTCCTTTGTCAGTATTTTCATTCTTGTCCCCCATTTTTCTTTTCAGATTCAATTATCAGAGCCTGGATCATAACAAGAACAATAAGGATGTAAATATTCACATTGGATTATTCGGCTAGGTCAAAGGCAGAACATTAGTTTCCAACTTTTCTTAAATTGAATACCACCCAACCTCCATCACTATGCTTAAATCTACGAATTTACTTAGCCACTCGACATCAATAACATGTAACACAAGTAGAGAATGATTCATATAGCCAACAAATTAAATATTTGGTGAATCACAAACAAATTTCAAACCATCCTTGAAGCCAATTGTCTTATGTTCTATGATTAAACTCATTACTACATCTCGTCTTTTTAAAGATCATGAACAAACTAGCCTGATAAACATACAACAACTCGGCATGTCACAACTCGATATACTGAATAATTACACAAACACAAAGAAGAATTTACAAAAAACTACATCATTGGACAAGATCAAGCTTTTCTATACCAACACAAATTGTTTCCCCGATATCCGAAGGGAAAAAGCAATAACTCCTCCACTCTCATAAATAAGATCAATCATCAATTATCACAACTAAAACACTACTATACTAAATCCAAAGATTTGGTTAGTTCTTTTCTACTATGAGATTAGGGGATACAGAACATAAAAGGACCAAAAATCTAAAACAAAACCACCAGAATTAGGCTTATTTCATTCTGCAAAAACAAGAATAAGCCTAACCAAAGATCAATTCAGCAAAACAGATACATGATCACATGCTAAAAGCACCAAGAAAGATCAAAATCAACAGTAAATCAGAAAAACAAACATGGGTATTTCGAAAAACAGAATCTTGAAACTATCACCTAAACCCCACCAAGAAAAACGAAAAAAAAATACTAATAATCTTGAAACCATCAGAAAAACAAAGCAGTAAAGATGGGAAATGAAATTCTATTGAAACCCCAAATACCAAAAAATATTAAAATTGATGGAAGGAGAAGAAAAGAATCACCTTTGTAATTCAATTTTTGTTCAACACAGAGATCACCTGAGATATGAAAACTTATTCAGAAATTTTGTAAATTTATACAAATCAAATTACCATATTAAGTAACACGTTTTTACTAAATATATATATATATATATAGGAATCGTATCCTTATAATTTCCTTTACGCGTTACTTCTGCGTGTTACTTTTTATTATGGAGAATTTTCTCCTTTTTTTCTTGTTTCATTTATTGGGTTTACCTTTTTTTAAAAAGAATGCTCTAATTTGATTTAGCACAAATAATTTAAGAAAATAAAAAAGTTTTTTTAATATTATAGTCTTAAATTAAATTATGTTAAATATATTAAAATACATTTAATTTTACTGCCTTATACATGACACGTAAAAAAATTAATATTAAAGTATTGCCAAAAAAGAAATAATGATAATTTTTTTTGGTTATGTAATGGATATTGATTAGAGAATACGTATGCATGGAGTGTCCATGTATCAAGGAATAAAGTAATCGAATCTTACTGGTTAATAAACTTTAATAATTCTTCAAATGGATAGAATATTAGGACAAATGTTAATAATTCTTTTTAATTAATTAATAAAAAAATTCCAAAACATCAAGATTGACTAAGACGGATCGACTAATTTTGTTGGACAAAGACCAAACTTGTGATAATTGGTTAAAAGGATTGTGTCATTTATATTAATTAAGGAAAATTTAACACATTTATGTAAATTTCGGGTTTGATAATTACACGCAACTAATATAATATAACACACTTATCCAAAAATCAGTTACAACTTACAACAACAAACAAACAAAAAACCAAGAAGAAAATTATGTAGTACAAAAATGACCATATTTAAAATAATTGACTGTGTATAATAAAAAACACAAAAAGATTATAATGAAGAAATTATGACTATTAATTAACGCGTAATAAAACTTACAATTGAAATAAGTTATTAAACTGTTTAGCATGCATGAGTATATTAAATTAGGCACTTGATTTAACGTTCAAACTTTTAGTACTACTCAACAAACGGGTGGTTTACCAAATCTCCACCCTCTAGAATGATATATACAAGTTTTCTTTTTCTTTTATACGCTTTAAACATGTTAAAGATTGTTGGACCGTATATTGAAAAGTAGTCATCAACAAGTATATTTTCATAAAATTACTACGATAATTCCTCTCCTTCCACTTGAACTTTGAACAAAAAGTCAAATCACACCTTCAGCAAATCGTAAAAGCAAATTAAAGTTATCCTGATGTTTAAAAAAGCATAAATATATATATGTATAATGTATAATTATTCGTGGCACAAATAAAAGTGGCACATTTTCTTTAGAAAGTTTCACTACTTTAAAAGAACGCTACATAAACTAATGGGTGATAATTGGCTGTGGCATATTCTAAAGAGGAAAAAGGAAGGGAAAAAATGACGATCAGTAGAAAAGAAAGGATGCATCTCAATTCCCTTTTCTTCAACTACAGAATCTGATGCTAAATCTTAGAATTTTTGGCGGGTTCAGATGAATTCAATAAATTTTTGCGAAGTCCAAAACTCATTAACTTCACATTCTGGCTCCACTTTGGATTACAAAACAAGCGAAGAATGTCACTAGTTATGAATAGAAAGATACCACTACCCCACCTCTTTTTCAAATGGTAAGCGCACCAAATCGAATTTAAATCTTGACATGTTGACAGTTTTTTATTGAAAGCATTTTGGCTTTAATGTCATAAAATGGGCTCTTTACCACAACATGTCATGCATTAGAAGAGTCCGGAGCCAAAAGGGCAAAAAAAATTGCCAAAAATTTCAAAAGGGCACATCATATTTTTTTAAAACCAAAATGGCAAAATTGCTCCTGCCGGAGCGATTTTCCTCTGACACATATTAACGCCGTGTACTCCGTTAAAATAAAATCGCTGCCAGGGCAGCGATTTTTGTCCAATTTTTTTTTCCACTAAAATCACTGGCACAGCAGCGATTTTTTAACTCTAATTATTTTTCCTCCAACTAATATCGCTGCTATGGCAGCGTTTTCATAGAAAAAAAATTGGCAGCATTTTTGTAAAAACTTTTTTTTGAAAAATCGCTGCCTTGGCAGCGTTTTCCTTAAATTTTATTTTATTTTTGAAAATCTTTTCTTAATTTTTTTTTAAAGTTTTATGAAAGAACAATTAATTTTTTTAAAAAAATTGCTGACAGGGAGCCTGATTCCACCCAAAAATTTGGACTCGACGTAGAAATCATCAAAATGAGGCACGAACTTTAATCGGTATCGAATTAGGCTGCCTTTTCAGCAATTTTTGTTAAAAAAATTATTTTTTAATAAAAACGCTGCCTTGTTTTCAAAACAAAAAAAAAATTAAGAAAAACGATTTTAAAAAAAAATTAAAATTGAAGAGAAATGAATTTTAAAAAAAGAAAAAATTAACTAAAAAACTGTCAAGGCAGCAATTTTCAACCATTTGGCAGGTTTTTTATAAAAAATATATATATATCTTGAAATCGCTGCCTTGGCAACGATTTTGGTGGAACTAGTTTTTTTTTTAAAAAAAAATCGCTGCCTTGGCAGCAATTTTTGTAGAAATATTCTTTTATTGTATTTTATTTTTTGAAATTTCTGTCAACAAGTCAATATCTAAATTTTTATTTTTTTTTAAATTGCTGCCAATGCAGCGTTTTTGCGATTTTAAAAAAAATATAATTAAAATCACTGCTATTACAGCGTTATTATAAAAGCAAATTTATTTTATTCTTTTGGCGTTAATTTTTTTTTTTAAATTGCTGATGTTGCAGCGTTATTATAAATTTTGTGGAATTTTTTTTTTTTTTTTAGAAATCGTTGCCTTGGTAGTGCTTTTGGTGGAACTATTTTTTTTTTAAAAAAATTCTTTTGATTTATTTTTTAAAAAATTTCTATCAAGTAGTCAACATCTAATTTTTGAAATCGCTGCCTTGGCAGCGATTTTAGTGAAGCATTTTTTAAAAAAAAAGAAATCGCTGCCAGGGCGGCGAAATTCCCCTCTAACTTTTTTTAAAAAAAAAATATCGCTTCTGACGCAGCGATATCATAAAAAAAAAAAAATTTAGATGTTGACTAGTTGACAAAAATTTCAAAAAATAAAATAATATTTCTACAAAAATCGCTGCCAAGGTAGCGATTTTTAAAAAAAAAAAACTAGTTCCACCAAAATCGTATTTCAAGATATATAATATATTTTTTTTGTAAAAAAACTGTCAAATGGCTGAAAATTGCTGCCTTGACAGCTTTTTAGTTAAATTTTTTTCTTTTTTTTTAAATTCGTTTCTCTTCAATTTTAATTTTTTTAAAAAATCGTTTTTCATTTTGAAAACAAGGCAGTGTTTTTATTAAAAAATAATTTTTTTAACAAAAATCGCTGAAAAGGCAGCCTAATTCGACACCGATTAAAGTTCGTGCCTCATTTTGATGATTTCTACGTCGAATCCAAATTTTTGAATGGAATCAGGCTCCCTGTCAGCAATTTTTTTTTAAAATATTGTTCTTTCATAAAACTTAAAAAAAAAATTAAGAAAAGATTTTCGAAAAAAAATAATTAAGGAAAACGCTGCCAGGGCAGCGATTTTCCAAAAAAAAGTTTTTACAAAAAAGCTGCCAATTTTTTTTTCTATGAAAACGCTGTCATAGCAGCGATATTAGGTGGAGGAAAAAATTAGAGTTAAAAAATCAATGTTGTGCCAACGATTTTAGTGAAAAAAAAAAGAAAAAAAAATTGGGCAAAAATCGCTGTCTTGGCAGCGATTTTATTTTAACGGAGTACACGGCGTTAATATGTGTCAGAGGAAAATCGCTCCGGCAAGAGCGATTTTGCCGTTTTGGTTTTAAAAAAATATGATGTGCCCTTTTGGAATTTTTGGCAATTTTTTTTGCCCTTTTGGCTCCGGACTCTGCCTTAGAATATCCTACATTGAAAGCTCCATTTTTCCTCCTTCCAAGAAATCAAGAGAATTGAACTTGTATGCACTTAATAGTTTAGTTCCTCTTGTACGTGAGAACAACACGAACTGTTACAGATTAACCAGCATCTTTGCCTAGTTAGCCAAGAAACGTCTAGTTTACCAACTAAAAACAATACACTCCATGGTACAAACTACAAAGATCGAACGAAGAAAAAATGAAAAGAAAAGGGGAAAAAAGAGCTAATTAATTGTAAGAGATGTAGGTGACATGCTCTCCTTTTGAAGGGGCTTCATTATGCCATCAAACCACTCGCTCGACTATCAACTGCTGAACTTCAAGCTCCATGGTTTTAACTTTGCATTGTGGGAGACATTAGAATGACTTGTACAAATATAGATGTGTTGAAGGGCACTGCAAAGACCCATAATAATGCCAGGAGAAAGTTGAGAGCAAAATTGTGTTATCCTAAACTCCAGAACAGCAAGTTATGAACCAGAGAGTTAGTGTTGAACATTTTTGTAAACCCTTCTGTAGATTTTGCAACCTTCATATTCTGCATGAATCTCCCTTTCAGTTCTTATCCCCATTGGGTTGTTCAAAACCCATCCATCACCATCACAAGGTAAACTTGGGTCAACACTATCTATATGGACTAGTTTATCAGGTACATCATCAAAATAATTTCTCATGTCAAGCGCAACATCGAGCACATCAGATTGTATAAAGACCTATCAACCATCGATTAGAAAGCTTAGGCAACAATTAAACACAAAAGATTATGCATGTGATGCTCAGCTGAATTTGTAAGTGCATGCTCATTGTTGGGGATTGTTTTCTTAACATAGAATAATAAGATGGAAAGGATGTGCAGTACATTTATGAAACAAACCAGAAGCTAAATTTTATTTAGAAAAAGGAAGGGAACCTATATATTATTAAATCAGACGAATAGCTGGCTTTACAATCACTTTTGTTCCATGTACACTGCTCTCAAATCAAAACCGACTTATTTTAGGGTCTACCAAGAAGGTTAGGAAACGGTAGACCATTTTAGCCATAATATAGGGTGGATAACCTGTTAAAGCATTGTGTTACACTTTTCAACTGAAACCACTGAGAATTGACATCATGATATTTTGGTGATGTCAAGCAAAGTAAATCAAAAGTTTGGAGAGAAGGGTCAAAGCCTAAAAGAATCTGAGACAGTTGGAGCTAACACCTTGGGTACAAGTTTTGGATCATCTATTTTGAACAACCATGGATCCAAGTCATAAGATGCATATCCCTTCACTCTCCCTTGTCCAGTCCCTGATACCAATTGGAACTAATGTATACGTACTGCGTAGTTGGGCAATTACCATGCTTCAATTTCAACTGGTAACCACATAACTACTGCACACATTAGGAAATTACTTAAACCCTCTTCTTTATTTTCCTGAAAAGAAGATTGATGCACTGCAGCCACAAATGCGTAACCACATAACTACTGCACACATGAAAGCTCAATTGACCATGCTTCAATTTCAACTGGTAACCACATAACTACTGCACATATTAGGAAATTACTTAAACCCTTTTCTTTATTTTCCTGAAAAGAAGATTGATGCACTGCAGCCACAAATGCGTAACCACATAACTACTGCACACATGAAAGCTCATAGTTTTCCCTATTTTTTCTTTTTTTTTGTGGTGGGGGGGGGGGGGGGGGGAGATCACTAGTCCAACTGATAAAAAGAGCGCCTCATGCGCTAGATAAACATCCAATCAGCTGGGAGCAAGACTAAAAATATTTGGAAGTGAGATCATAGACAAGATGCAACCTGCATCGAAATCAGAGTCAGTACATTCTAAGAAGTCTCAGATGCCAGATCATATACATTTTCCCCCTAAGAAGATCAAATAGTGTTATGCATACAGTTATACTATACAAGTTAGGTTTGACTCACTCAAAAGTTCAAACACTATGGCACTACCTAATGATACCTCAAACCAGGCGCTAAAAGCCAAATAGAAGTTGGCAAACTGCACAATGCACAGAGCATCAACATGCATATCAAGTAATCTATGCACACAGAATAATAGTCAGCTAATCCAACACTCTAGAAGCTCCGAGCAGGTACCTGTCCACCATGTGCTAAATTATTCACTATGGAATCAACCAAAGGCTTCTGCAGCACTCTTCTTTTATGATGTTTTTTCTTGAAGTGCGGATCTGGGCACTGCAGACATGAGGAACTAACTATTCAGCTTTATGTCAACCAAAATTCATGCATACAAGAAAGGTTAATTGGCACAAGAAAACCCTTTCCTGCATACTTCCAGCATAAAAGGGAACTCACCAAGATTGAAACTAGCATTAATGGTCCAGGATAAGTAGATACAAGTCGTTGGAAGGAAACCATGGCATTCGTAGAGATGAAATGTCTGCATTTAGATATACATTAACAGGTTTTCATAAACATTTTTTAAGTGGACTATCAGGACTTTTCCAAGCCTTACACATTTTTTAGACCCAGGTCGTTTATCCAGTACTCAGCCCGTGTGACCAACTGCAGAAGGAAAAGATAGTCTCAACCATAAGTACCACAATACTACACTTTTTTCGATAACCCATAATATTGTAGTTTCAGAATCCAAGAGAGAACAAATAGCAGTATCTAAACAGAATAAAAGTGCTTTTTACTAGACAAAGTTGCTGTCGACATACCTTAGGCCGAATTTCCAATCCTAGATAATTCATGGATGAAGAATTTCTCTTAGCAAGCCACATAAGAAATCTCCCACTACCTGCAATCTCCTTTCTAAGATCTAAGAAATCACAAGAACATAGAATAGCGGTATCTAAAGGCTCAAGGGAAGAGAAAAAAATAGAAAATATGTGAGATAAATTGAAAGACTAACAATATCATATGGGAGTGAATGTTGGATCTCTAATATCCACAAATGTGACCATATGAGATTGGACAAAATTTAAAACAGATTTTACTGACAGATGGCTGCAAATAGAACACATAAAGGATAACATGAAGGTTGTTTCAGATGGTACATAGACCTCGAGATAGACTAGTATGTAGGTGCAAGATGATTGAAGGTAATAAAAGGGAGAAATTGTCTAAAAAGGCCTAAAATAGAGTCCTTGTAGATTTTGGCTAAAGAACATAATAAAATGGAAGTAAAGGATCCATATAGTCGATACCAACCAGCTGGAATTAATGCTTCATTGTTGTGGTTACACCTACATTAGGTTTGGTATTTGTCAAGACTTCTTATTCTGGTTAAAGACTTGTATGCCTGTGTAGTGGTAAGTGTAAATTTTGTCTTAAGAAAAAAAACTAAAGGTTTAATGATATGTGGCACCAAGCAAATCCTACTATTGTCTAAGAAACATTGGACTGAATCCCTTTACCTATGCAGGGGTTCTAAGAAGTTCAGAATGACATCAACATCATTTACAAGTGACCCTATTCCAAAAGTGTAACAAGTAAAGACTTTTAGCTGTTACAAAGGATATCGGTGTTACTTACTACATATCAGATAAGACATTTTTACTTACGGACCAATTTTAAAAAGACACCCTATTCAAAAAGTTCAACTAGTAAAGACATTTAGCTGATTACAAAGGAAATCGGATAAAACAATCACCCTTCATTTACTACATATCGCTTCACGTTGTTTATTTTCTACAGAAAACTACGTCTTGCCGTCAACTTTCTTCAGATATAGTGTTTTCTGAAGAAAATAAATGGGAAGTGATACCCTTCGGGGTGGCCCAGTGGTTTGAGCTTTGGGACTTCCATGTTGGAGGTCTCAAGTTCGAAACCCCTTGCCAGCAAAAGCAAGGGGTTTGCCTTCTGGGTCGAGCTCGTCGCACCAAGCTTGCCTAGTGCGGGTTACCTCTCCTATGTGGTTTGCGAGCTATTGCATAGGAGCGAGGGTTTTACCCTGTGTGCACCCAAAGGGTAGCGGCTGCGGGTTTCCCTTGTCATAAAAAAAAAAAGAAAAAAGAAATGGGAAGCGATGTGTAGTAAATGAAGGGTAATTTTTTTATCCAATTTCGTTTGCAAACAGCTAATTGTTGAACTTTTGGAATTGGGTGACTTTTTAAATTGGTCCGTAAGTAAAAAGGTTTTTATCTGATATGTGGTAATGAGGGGTGAAAGTAACACCTTACGACCTTTAAGGTTTTGGCACAAATTGCTATTCTATTTGTATAACCAACTACTTTCATGCAGTTTGAAGCAAGTTTTTTCACAGATAAGTGATGGACCATACTAAACTACTAGATCTTTAATGGAAAACATGTAAATTAAAACAACTAAACTATAAGAAGAAATAAAACGGTAAAGAAATCAAAAGGCAAACAGGTTCCTACCACTCCCAATATCCACCATCAGAGGCAATGTTGCATCCTCGAACACCTCCTTCCAGTTTGGTGCTTCTGCAGGAATCTTCTCATGATAAATTATACAACAAAACAAAAAGAAATCATTTGAGTTCTATTCCATCCTGATTTTTTCTTTCTAAAGTAAAGTTTCAGAAATTATAGCTGAGGTAATAGGAAGGGAGAAGCTTTACATATATAAATAGCCATAATGTATACCATGAGACCACGTCGCAGAGGATTGACATGCTGCCTTATTCGAAGATTGCCAACATCCTATTACATCATTTGATGAAAGTGAGTATAAAAATGCACACACATATTGCAACGAAGATCATTTAGATACAATTTTCTCAACCCATCATTTTTACCTTCTCCTCATTAAATTCTGAAATTTACTCCAAATAAACAACTTCCTCAATAGCTCAAGTTCACCAACTTTTGGCAGTAATTATGTGACAACAGTATCAGAAAAAATGATGAAAACAATTCTATCCTAGGATAATGTAATTACAAATAAATTTGTACAAGAAGCATCAATTAGTAACCCTATAAAAATGGTAACTAACATGCTATCCTAGGTTAAAACTACACCCAGTAAAAACTCATTATATTGTCAGTATATATATAGATTATACTGCTAGGGCTCGTTTGGTTGGAGAACAAGTTATCCCAGAATTAGTTATCCCGGAACTGTTATTCCACCCTCAATGTGGGATAAAAATAACACTACAATCTCAGGATAACTAATCCCAGTTATCTGATGATTTCATCCCAACCAAACATGGGATAAACTCATCCTAAAATTAATCTCGGAATTAGTTATCCCTTATCCTTCACAACAAACAAGCCCTCAATGAATTCTTAGTAGCTGCATTTGACCCAATATTTAGCAAAATTAGTAGCCAATCGTACAGGAAAACTCAGCATAGTAGTACATTGGACTTGAAAAAGTTATAAAAATGAAGTCTTTAAAAAATTTCTCAAACCTCAGAAAATCTTTCAGGGAGATTAAGGTCAGCATATTCTTTGGCTACAATTCCAGGACTTGCGTGACGGTTTAAGTGTTCCTCTGTCTCAGCTACAGAAGATGAAACAGCCGATACCCAAGTACAATACCCTCCAAGACAGGGAAAATTTGATGGAGTTACACAAGGGATGTGTTTGTTAACAGTACTGAAGATGAAATTGGGAGAGGAAATGAAGATTGAGTTCAGAGGTTTTTTGGGTATGGCGGAGTACAAGGAGTAAGCCATGGCTACCGCCCCTGAAAACACTATTTCCCCTATATATAAGGTTGGAGAGATAGATATGTAAAAATAAAAATAAATACAACAATAACATATTTAGTTTAATCACGAGGATAGTGTTGAAAAACTAAACTACAGAATAGAGGTGGTTTAAAAGAGAAGTTATTTGAAGCAAAGTTATAATAAAAATGCGATATCAAAATATCAAAGAGCAAATAGACATTAAAACGCACTAGATAGAATAATAAGAAGTTATTCATGTCCGATCGTTATGAGTATGGTTGTGGTATAAAAAGATTATTTCCAAGCTCATCAAAAATGTGTGAAAGTTATACTGTCCTTTAACTTTTGCTTTACTTCCTTTCAACTTGGATAATTTACTCTATTTTGCCTAACGATTTTACCTTTACTTTTTATGGGAACCAAAAGAATTAGAGGATATCATTCAAAAGAAAAAGCAAAGGGAATTAGGGAAGAGTTTGTAGGAACTAATGTTTTTAAATATAATTAACAGATTGATAAAAGAGAGACTAATGCAAGTTAAAAATGGCTCCACTTAAGATGTAGTTTTGCTTGATTGAAAATGCACTTTTTGGTATTCACAAAAGTTTGTAGTTTGCCTTGCTTTTCTTTTTTGTTGTTGTAGAGAAGCTGTGGTATCCGATAGTTTCATGAGCTAAGTCTCTACTCTAGAAAGCTATACATGCAACAATGAACGTGCTTTGATCTCCAATTTCCTTTTCATTATTTCTTTCACGACGAGATGAAATGAAAAAGAAGAAATGAGCAAGTATGAAGATTTTTGTTAAGACAAAAGAACAACAGTAACAGAGAAAATTATATCTAGTTCCCACCTGAATAACAAACATATTTTTCATTGTAAACTCAAGTACAAATTGTGTTTAAGTTTACCAATCAAGCTAAAACACAGAGTATTGTTGACTTCAGCAGCAACTTATTCATAACTGAGCTTCATTTCTACTTAATGAAACTGGTTTCAGACAGAAGAAAATTACTCCTATGAAGTCACAAACTTGCAACTTAATGTAATACTGTTGTAAGCCTACTTTATTCTTTGAAACAGTTCATGAGAAAGGCCATGCTGCTCTCAGGAAATTTAAAACATAGCCATTCCAGAAACATAGAATACATTGAATACCATCTTTCTAAATTTGCGTCTATGTGGCTAAGTCGTATCATTGTGAACCTTAAACTATTTCTTCGTGAGATCTTCCTGGTATCATAGAGGCCAAAAACCATCAGTCCCACATTAACTTTGAGAAGAACTCTAGAACTTCACCCCTGAATGGATTGCGACAACTCCACCAACAAGGTTCTCGTATTCTACCTTTTGAAATCCAGCTTCTGCAATCATTTTTGCAAATTGTTCCTGCATACAATTAAAAGCAAAAAGTAGTAAAAAAGCTGAAGTGTGTCGATGAATAAAGGGTGAAGTTCCTAAAAAACCAACTCAAAAATTTTAAAGCACTGATTCAAAACCTTTAGATACTATCCTTTATACATCTGATGTAGGACATCCTATAACTCAAGGGGAACCCAATTTTTGGAGTTTACCTATGATTTTGAATGCCACTGTGAAACAAAATTACCCAAGGTTGGCTTTGATATCATATGAAAGAATCTGTGAAAATCATCCAATGCCAGAACCTTAAGGCAATGGTTGGAATCTCCCAATTCCTTTATAAACACACACACACACACACACCCTTTAGATGACCTTATCTATCCTATGCAGAATATTTAGATTTAAAATTAAAAGGAACAATAGGACAAAGGGAAGTAGTAACAGAGAAGGAAATTAAAGTTATCCAACCTATGAAATTTTCCTATTGTTGCAGGTGAAGTGCTGATCATACTTTTTCATTTCATTACAAGAGCCTTTTAAGAATTTAACTTTTGTTTAGAAAAGGCATCCATCCATGATCACAAGAACTACAATCTCACCGTACTGGAAAGAAAAAGTACACAAAAAGCAAAAGATATGCATACGAGTTCTTAAATCCGTGATATTTAACGATCCCCAGGAAATGGTCATTAGCTGGGATTCACCATGGTGCAATTATGGTGAACAAATTATCTGATGCTGCAACGAATGAAAGAAAGTTACACACTTAATACCTGTGGAGGGAAACGGCGGACGCTCTCAACCAAGTACTGATAAGACTCTCGATCACCTGTCACTAGCTCACCAACTGCTGGGATGACTGAGAATGAGTAGACATCATACCTGAAAAAAAAGAGGGGGAAAAAGAAAATGAAAATTTGAAATCTGCAGGAGAAAACTCGTACAAGCGCTATCATACGTAATGAATCACAAATCTCAAATTTTGACTAACCAAACCCAAGGAAAACCAGCATATATTACAGAAGTGATTCGCATAGTACAAACAAAGTTCATGCACACCTGATTTTTAATCCATTGACATAGAGAAGAACTGTTGCTAATCATGTTATCTAAGTATTGATCTTATGAGCAAGGATTAGATCTTTCAAATTCGATATAAAATATCACAATATATGCAGACTTCAGTTTCACTTGAGCAAGAACACTCTATTGATTGTCTAAGTTCCACCAGGTCGTTCCAAGCTGCAAAAGTTCTTGTATATAAAGCAGCATCCATTAAAAAGAAACTCAGAGTACATAGCTATTTGAACTTCAAATTAGGCCTGAGGGAATGCTTTATTTTCTTTTCCTTTCCCTCATATTCGGTATGTATTTGGTAAACAAAGGAATCCCATTAAGCTGTCCTGGGCAACACCATTAAAAGTGATAATCTTTGGAGCACAGTTACAACTTATCCAAATAAAGAAGGCAAAAGAGGGACAAAGTTGAATATATAACTGAGTAGGTCAAACAATATTCATGGACCTCTTATCATTGTGCTGAACAATTGCATGGTGATAATAATTACTCCATCCGTTTCAATTTGTTTGACCTACTTTTCTTTTTAGTCGCTTAAAAATAATTGATTCTTCCCCCTTTTTAGCAACTCTTTAATTCCAATTTTCCACATGGCATGTTTAAGGCCACATGATTAAAGGGCATTTTAAGACCACGAGATTCAAAAGTCCTTTTTGTTTTCTTAAACTCCATGCCTAGTCAAAATAGGCCAAACAAATTGAAACAGGGGGAGTAATAAATAACTGAAGTTATAAAGGCCATCCATCCTATGACAAGAAAACTTACAAGTCCTTATAAACCGGGATATCAACGTGGCTTAGTTCAAGGCAAAGAAACCTTCCTCCCCTTTTAAGCACCCTGACAAGCAAACCAAAACCATCATGTTTAACATATTGACCACTTGATCAATGCTTGAGATAAGAAAAAAGGGTATTGTGATCACGGCAATCAACCATATAAAATTTTGCCAAGCACTCACACGAGTACATTTAAAATCCTATGCAACAGCACTCCAAGAGATGGTAAAAAAACAAAAAACAAAAATCCTTGAGATTCGCTTTTGCATCAGAAGTTTATCAAACTATTAAAAGTGCACATATAAAAGCAACGATTACCATATAGTATAATAACGAATTACTGGACCTATCAAAGTCCTGTGACCTCCAATGTGAAAGGGGGGGGGGGGGATTTTCTACACTCTGATATCTTGACTTTTATAAGGCCCCTACATTAACTGCTAAGCTAGAGGAAACAAACTGTCTCCATCTTTATATACCACCATGAACTGCCAAAGCCGGAGGAGACAAAATCTAGCAAATTGTTACCTGATTTGACTCTTTCAAACTTCGGTTCACCCCAGTTCTTGTCAAGGCACATTACAACTTTGTTATTTGTCCAATGTGGAATGATTTACAAACTTATGATGTGTTAACCACAATACATCTATGTTATTTCTCCAATGTGGAACAATTTACAAATGCAAGATGTGTTAGCCACAATATACCTATGATATTTGTCTAGTGGAAGAAACAACAATATCCAACTTAAGAATTTAATTGTCTAACATTCTACCACACTCCCTCAAACTCAAAGGGAAAAATAACAACTAGAACTTGCTTATTTTGAAAACATTGAAAGCAAACATTACTACAAAATCTTGATGGAAAGTCACCAGAAAAGCTCTGCCACCGGAATCTCTATAAGTTATTGCCAGAATGATGGATGGAAAGGATGCACTTGCCATTAGAGAGGTCACCAAAACGAATGGTGCCTCTAGAATAATCACTGGAAATAAATACAGCGCCACTGGAAATTGTCAGAAAAAGGTGTCTCGAGATCAGAAAGAACGGCACAGCGGAACAATCACTGGAAAGAGGCGCTTTGACACACGAGCAATTGCCTGAAAGAGGCATGAACCGTCAAAGTGGTCGCCGCAAAGAAGCAAATGCCACCAAAGTGGGTCAAAGAGGCACAATCCGGTTGTAGCGATTGTCAGAAGAGACACGGTACCACAAGAATGATCACAGGAAGAGGTATGTTGCCACCCAATAGGTCATCGAAAAGAAAGAAAGCATACGAAACTTTGTCTGCACAAGCAGCATAAGGCCATATGCCGGAAGGTGAAACTACATAAGCCTAACAAAATGGTAGAAGCTTTCTTTTTGATAAAGGTAAAATTTTATATAAGCACCATCATTAAGAATCTGCTGTAACGTACGTCAAAGTTCCTCAAAAGAAGATCTTACACGTTACGTAAAAAGCTATTAAGGTCAATCATGGCCTCAACATTTGCATATTGCTCCAAACAGAAAACAAAGAAATACAGTTAAGAGAAGCGAAGAGGATACATTGATGAATTTAAGACATGATGACTACAAGCATGACTATTTATAGGCATTAGTTAGATGCGATACATATATTTAGGCTCATTGTTCTAGGAGAAAGGATGCTATTCTATTCATTAAAGATGCTAAGGGTGTTTGAATTAGTGTTAAAGATGTTTCGAGGTCAATATACCTGCTAATGCTAATACCATCATCTTTATGGTGGTCAGTCTGGAAAGAAAGAAATGGAAGATGTTTTGAAGATAGATCCAATTCCATCCACAAAGTTAAATGGAATTGTATAGTATCTCTACTTTTTTGGTGTAAACAACTTTGTATAGATGATATAAGATCAGATTATAGATTTGATAGGAAATCTGTAATTATCCCTTTTTGGAGGTAGCCAGCATACCCTTAATGCTGAAGAATTCAACCTTACCAGTTTCAAAAATAAATAAATACATGCATGCATATAGTGGACTCTTTGGAAAGAAAGGAATCAAAGGTGTTTATTTTTTTGATGAAGTAGAAAGGAATCAAAGGTGTTTAGAGGGCATATCCTTCCATATTGTCAACACAATTGTTTTAAGACATTTGAAACTAGCATAGCATCTTTTACTAGCACACACTCAGATATGATCACTCAACCAATGAACTATGCTTTAACCTTAACAAGATTGACACTGACTACATGAATCATTGGTGACATTCCATTCTATACACTTATAAGAAGAGAAAGCGGAAAAAAAAGATACTCCACACAAACATTATTAGCTTATAATGATGTATAGTGAAGACTCATGAGCACTCATTTGATCTTATCAAATCAACCAAATTATGAAATTATCCCTTCCTCAATCCTTTTAATCACATCCAGGAAAAAATATTACCTATATGCTTCTGCAAGAACTTTCTCTATGTGTGTAACATTCCTGATACCAAAAGCAATTGTGTAACCATCCATTGAGTTGTCTTCAAAGCTCAAGGCTTCTGCATCTCCCTCTACCCAATCGAGAGACTTCTCCAGTCCAAAACCTGCATATTGTTAAAAAAAGATGTCCAACAACAGAGATGCATTATTTATTCACTTCAATTTTCTCTACCAGAAATCCCAAATTGACATCCAATTATCCACGGAATGCAAACAAGACAAAGCAAAAAATTAGAGGCGTTTACCTCTCTCTTCGGCCCTCTTCTTACCCACACCCAACATGTTTGGATTGATGTCACATACATAAATTCTAGTTTCTTCAATCAGGTCATCATCAAGAACATCTTGCATAGCTCTGCGTTTGACATTTTTTATATTTTCAAGGATCCTGAAAGCAACATCCCCTGTAAAATTAGGAAGTTTTTCACTCAAGTGGATTGAAGAAAATACAAAAATAAATAATCACTACCACGAAGAGAACATACTGAAAGTAAAACAGGCAAGAATATTTTTACACTCTGCATTCAAGACAAAAGAGGGATAAGACCATACAGAAACCAATAAAATTCTAAATCCAATCATTTAGAGCATACCAGTGTGTATTTCACGTAGCTGAATGCTCGAATGCAAATCAATGCAGTTTAGCCAATCACAATTTCAGTTATTTTTAATGGGTGAAGTGTAACAAACTGGAAGAGTTATAACCGAAAAGATGTGACATTACAAGTTGTGTACTGAGCTAATAAAGTCAACAATGTCAAACTATCATATATATCTAGTGGATCCATGTTGCACCAAAGCCTAAGTAAACATATACAATTGTTTTCGGTGTTAAGCATAGAGTTTTCCTTGTTCACAGAAACTCTATTGCTCCTTCCCTTCCAAATGACCCACCAATCACAAGTTCAGTCATTGATAACGAAGTTCCAAATACATGAACTTTTTTGGCTTTGATTGCTTATAAGCCTTATCTCTCCCTCCCCCAACCCACCCCTTCCCACCCCCAAAGAATATTAGAGACCAACTAGATGAAAAAGATAAGAGAGAAATATAAGTAGCACATAAAAGAAAGACCTCCTGAAACATTATACCATGTACTTAATTCAGGTTGAGCTAATTGGAAAAATGGACAAATAGGTCCAGGGTTCAAATTTTATAATTCTGCTATTTACTGCCATAAGACAAGAAATTCTAGCTAGATTTATTAGCTGAAGAAGCAAAGCTTGGAAGAGGTTTTTATTGCATTACACTCCTCCACTGGACATTAAAATAGAAATTTTCAAAGGAATATTATCACTTCTAGATCCTGCTTCAGATCTGCTAAAAGCATTTTTCTGCTCTCATCTCACTTATCAACTGTGTAGCTCGGACTTCTTCAAAATGTTGCTACCCCATGTTGGATCCTCCAAAAATGCACTACTTTTGGAGGATCCAAAATGCACCCCGTGGCATGTTTGAAGAATCTGAGCAAGCAACATTGCCAATCAATGGTGCTTTCCTTCTTTTAATCCATGCTTTACATAATCACATAGCAGGATCAATGTTCAATGTCAAAAACATCACCTGTTCCACCAGCCACATCAAGATGCTTCATTCCTGGAAACGGATTCAACTTCGAAACCAATCTGACATGAAAATTGAGACAAGAAGTGAAGATAACAAGGATATAATCAGGAAGTAGTTTCCATTTCAACTGTGATACTTTTTAATGTCTTTCAGGTAGGATCTAACCTGTCCTTCCACAAACGATGAAGTCCACAACTCATTAGATCATTCATGAGATCATAGTTTGAAGCAACACTGGTAAAGACATTCCCAACCATCTTACTCTTTTCTTCTTCTGCTACGTCCTTAAAACCTGGAATGCAAACCATGAAATTCCTAACTATACCATATAACACAAATATAAATCTCAAATAAGGTAATATCGAAATGAAATTTGTTTCAATCAGCCAATGTAAAGATTGAAAAGTTTGTGTATGCAACATAACCCCATAACCTGATACCCCCTTCATCATTAGCGGGGACATAGGGAGGTGGACTACCCGCCTTCCATACAGTCATCAGTCACTTTATTTTGCATCATCTCCTTGAGGGGTAGCAATAAGGAGGCTCACCTTCTTCCATAGTTCCATTCCTATTTATTTTAATTTTGTGTTGTATTTGTGCCTTGTGTTTCGAATAGTTCAATGTTTGCATCTATTCAATAATAATGGTAAAAAAGAAAACATTTTTTGCTATCCAACTTCTTAATGCAAGAATTGTCAGTAAAAATGATTTACCATCCATATACATGTGTTTCCTATAAGTGAAACGGTAAGTAATATACCAAAGAAATTGGTCATCACCCTCAGGAATTCAGCTAACTCACAGCAGCCAGCTGCAAAACTAATGTCCACAGACCAAAATGTTGAAAAAGAAGAATGGAAGAAAAGAGAGCTTTTTAAAACAATACATTCAAATTACTACTTCAAAAAGAAACTTGTTTTCTTTTAGGAAGCACAAGCAACAAGGATAAAATCATGTTCTCTTAGGTATCACAACAAGTTTACCAATTGTAAATTCAATAACCATCATGCCAAAAAATTCAGCTTCTCAATAAAAACACAGCAAAGCTAAATTGTATTCCTTCCATTGTGAAAGCAATCTTGCGCAGTTCATTTGAAAAAACAAATATGTAATCCTCATAAACACAAAATAATACAAAATGTAAATATGCATACACAAAATTCAACAATAAGCAAACCATAGTACATGTAGACTGAACAAAAAAAATGGTTTCTTGATGCACAAGAAGAATAAAACTGACCAAAACTGGTGGCATGTGACTGCAATGTAGAGGCGGGGCAATACATTGAAGATAAGTTCTTTCTCCTCAAACTACGAGCAACTGATCGAACCAAAGTCGCCATTACTGATCCAAAAAAAATCCTATATCCTTTTGAACAAGAAAACAAGAAATTGAAGAATCAATGAAGGCAAAAAAGAAGCACGAAGAAAATAGAAGTTGTTGCCGCTTCAAATATAAATCGGGTCGGGTTCGGGTATAAGGACCAGCGGGCTTGGGTTCTGTTTATTTTCCCGAAAAAATTACCGTTAAATCTGGGTTTTCTACTTCTTTCTTTTTATTTTTTATATCACAAATGATTCTAATTGAGTGGATCATATTTGTGTGGGTCGTATCTTTCTTTTGGTCATAGGTACAAATTATAATTAAAAATTAGTACATAGTACCGAACACATAAATTGGGTCTAAATTATTGATTTAGTGGTGTTATAATCGAGTCGCTTATATTGTTGCAAGTTACTTCAAGTTGATGGTGTGATTTTCTGTGGAACACAAAGTTAAACTCAGATTATACTAGTGTAGCATGTATTTTTATGACAGACAAAGCAAGAAAGAGTCGTGGGAATATGAGCACCACAAATAAAATAGAATAGTTGGTTAAAGTTTGCGGGATGGAGAAGGCAAGTGGAGTGGGGGGAAATGGCTATGAGTGTAGTAGCATGGCTGTCACCATGCACCACTATTTCATCACCAAACAAATTCAGCTGCTGCTCTGCCATTTCTTCTCAAGCTGAATCTTCCTTCACAACAACTACTGCAACCGCCATTCGTCCTGCTGTTATTCTTCCGGTTTGCATTTCATTCTTCATTCTCATTCTCACCCTTTTGTCTATATGTTCATGTCCTCCCCGCGAATTTCAATGTTATTGCTCCTATCCCAGTTTCTTGGTAAAATTGAGTTCCATAGTTACAGGAACTCCAACTTTTGAGTAAAGATTGGTTTTTTAATGTAGTTTCCAATTAAAGTCTTTGTCTTTGCACCAAACCAATGAATTTATAATATTACTTCGGTCCTACATATTAGTCGTTTTGGCAAACTAAATTTGTTTAAAAAAATTTGACATTTTAGAAAATAAGAAAAAATTGTCACATTTCTTTCGAATTCACCCTTGCTTCTCTAATTGGCGGAGTATCAAATAAGTGAGGCATCAAAGATAGAGATAAAATTTGTTTGGACAACTGTACTCTTGAGTGATTATCATTAGGGCTATGCCTATATTAGATGTCTTTTTTTGAGGTGTATGCAAAAATCTTAAATGACAGAGTTGATGTAGTAATTCTTAAGGTTAAGTTACTTTTAATAATATACCGTTATCATTTTTGTGGTATGGATACTAATTGAGTTTATCATTTATAAACTTCTGCAGGGTTTAGGGAACAATTCAAATGACTATGAGAAGCTGGCTCTCATACTGAAAGGATATGGAGTACCAACAGCAATAGCAAAAGTTTCAAGAATTGATTGGCTTAGGAATGCTGCTGGTTTGTTGGACACAAATTATTGGCGTGGCACTCTCCAGCCTCGACCAGTGCTTGACTGGTAACAATGTTACAATTTTTTGTGCTTAGCAGCTATCAAGCTATGTTCTTATATATTAATTAAAAAAATTGGCCAGGTACCTCAAAAGAATTGATGAAGCCGTCAGTGAAGCAAAAGAATTGGCTCAAGGTTCTCCAATTAGTTTACTTTCACTACTATTGATCTTAGAATTTTCTTTTAATATGTTTCACTGTTGCTCTCTCTCTGTCACGCGCAAGAAAACACACACAAGTTTCTGCTGGTTCTTACTTTCTTTCTGTACTTTTCCTTATCTATTTTCACATGGATCCACTTTCCTTTCCGGTCCCAAATGCCTTGACAGACCTTCTTGTTTGCAAAGCGTTTCTAGCATCACCCATTGTAGTCCAAGTAAATCTTTAATTCCTTGTTGCCCCTGTTTGTTAGGCTGCACATTTTCACGCAGTCCAAATAACATGGGGATATGGTCACGTAAGTCATTTGACTGTCTAACTGCAATTAATATTCAAAACTTGGTCTTTCTTGTAGACTGGTTATGGTCTTGTTATTTTATTTATCTAGTATAGTACATCATGGCTAAACATGATATGTATTCTGGCATTTCAGTTGTCTAGATAGAAGTATTCTCCTGCTTGATCATAACTTAGACCAAATTTTTCTTTAGTCTTCGTCATTTACTCCCCTTCATTTTAGTAGACGTCAGTCTTCTTCATCTGGCCTCATTGCATCAATATTGATCCAATATCTAATGTTCTCCCACTTGATTATGAGCTGACCAAAATTCATGTTTGGAGTCTTTTACTTGTCTAAATTTGCTCTGAAATTGAACACAAGGCTTTATTCTCTGTCCTATCTAGTATCTACTCATTCTAGGTAGCTGCAAGTCCCAAAACATATATACGATTGTGGTTAACCAGATTGCCACATCCTTCTTTCTTTTACTTCATCTTCCTAGGATTGCAGTGTGTTGTCTTAGCACTTCCGATAGCTACAATTAAATGTTGGTGCTTTCTTTTACAAATTTTATAAATATGACCTTCAATCTTGATTGACCTACACAGTCCTCTTTACTCAACAGGATATGTTGCAGTCCCATAATCAGGCCACATTTGTTGTAGGTGGGAGTGGAACTTTATCTATTATTGGGCATTCAGCTGGAGGGTGGCTCGCACGTGTCTATTTGCAGGAATTTGGCTCCTCAGACTTTTCCTTGTTACTGACTCTAGGAACCCCCCACCTGTATGTATAGATTTATTCATCTATTGTATAGCTATTCTTTATGCAACTATTTTACTACACATTTAATAGATGGTATTTCTTATGGTGATTGATTTGTATAAGCCTAACAATGATATTTGGTTTCATTAGGCCACCACCTAAAGGTTTGCCAGGTGTAATTGATCAGACAAGAGGCCTGTTGTATTACGTTGAAAAGAATTGCGCAAAAGCTGTCTATTCTCCAGAACTTAGATATGTATGTATAGCAGGGAGGTAATTATCAAAATTTTGGTGTTTTATTCATGTGCTTAATTTCTAGTGCTTCTTGTGAACGCTGTTTTCACTGCGATGACACATCATTTCATTTAGTTTGTTCAATGCTCAATGATAGTGAAAGGGATTGTTGAAGCTACTTAACTGTCTGATTATGGAAGTGAACTGTCTGACATTGTTCCTATATAGTAGTGCATGCATTTTAACTAAGAACAATGAAACACCAAACAGCCGTGGGAACAAGTACTAACTTGCTAGAGGAATTGCTTCCTGCTTGATCTGTTAAATTTGAGTATCACCATACAGACTGCACCTAAGATCTACTTAACGGGGTTGTTAATAATTCAGTCCAAGCTAAAACTATCTAAACCTTTTCTTGTCTGTGCCTATCAAGGTTTAGGCAGATGAGAAGAAATCATCCTTTGCTGGATTAGAAATTATTTCTTACCTTAAATCCTTGCTGAGTAAAACCAAATGGATTTCACTTGTCTAGGTATATTCAAGGGTCGCGTTTCTTTGATTCAAGTTCAACATACAACTCTGAATTCGTGGACGGTGCTGAACAGCCAATGTCAGAGGTTGCTGCTGTAAGCAACACAAATGCAGAGACTGAAACAGGCACCCCTTTTCGTACACGTTTTGTTGGTCAAGGCTACAAGCAGGTTTATACATAAGCGCTCTTGAGTGCAATAATGCTCAAATTACCAATCTTTATTTAGTTTACATCGAGTTATTCATGAGCAAATATCTGTTACCTAATTACTCTTTCTTCTGAAAAATTTACCAGGTTTGTGGCCAGGCAGATGTCTGGGGTGATGGAGTTGTACCAGAAGTTTCAGCGCATCTGAAAGGTGCACTTAATGTCACTCTGGAAGGAGTTTACCATTCACCTGTTGGTTCTGATGATGCTACAAGACCATGGTATGGTTCTCCTGCTGTTGTCGAACAATGGATTCGACACCTGCTTGTATAGTTTAAAAGACAGCCTGGTGAAATCATTCCTCATTAGCAAGATCTGGGGAAGGGCGACTGTGTAGTTCCATGGTAAATATTGGGCAAATTTGCCTTATTCTTTGTGGCAAATGGAAAACATTGTTCATAAAAATGTCACATCTGAGCCAATTAATGAAATCTTCTTCATGAGTATTATGAGATCCCCTATGCTCATTGTTTTGTCTCTCATATATTCTTAATCAGGAATAGGATTTAAGGACTCGCATTCCAGATTTTTGCGCGGTTTGTATGATCCAATGGCAGCTACTTGTACTATAATACAAGTAAAAATAGTAATGAAGCTGGAAAAGGAGCATCTTACTTATTTTCTAGCTTGAACTTCTAGGAGTCCTAACCTTTAGATCACAATAAATAGCACTAAACCAGCAAGTAAATATAACTAGAATGAGCAATATAAAAGAATTTTGTGTGCTTTAAGAGCACATAATCCACAGGACCAAAAAGGAATATGAGAGTGCAAACTCATAAGACATGCAGCTCTAGTTTTATAACTCCTGATCTGTAAATCTAGTGTGGCAGCTCAAGCTGAAATCTACACCTGCTCACGGACACAACTACCACAAATATATCAGTATATGACAAAAAGTGCAGCAAGTGTAGTATGAGTACATATTGGACACCGTCAGGTGAAGTAACCGTACTTGTTAAATGCAAGTTGCAACTAATACACACAAATTCTGGGATAACTTGTTCCCAACCAAATAACCCCTTAGATAAGAGTAATATGTTTACTCATTCACCAGCATGTTCACAACTTTATTGACCACTAAGCCACATTACGTCACATTTTGACAACACATGCTACCAAAGAAATAGATCTATCTTCAGGGTAGAACCAATTATACTTTTTCCTCCATCCCAATTCACTTGGCACATTTTACTTTTTAGTCCGTCTCAAAAAATGTAATCTTTTTATATTTAGAAATAATGTAACTTTTAAAAATTTCTTTTACCTTAATAATAAGATGATTTACAACCATATAAATATCTAAGTTTTGTTTTGGCAACAAATTTCAAGCCTTCCTTTCTTTTTCTAATTTTGTGTCTAGTCAAATAATGTCACATAAATTGAGACGGTTGTGATATAAGCCTTTATTTTCTTAAAA